TAGGAATTATACGAGATGAAATGCATGTTATATTATGCAGGTGATGCAAATGCTACAATAAATGTATCAATTCAATGATTCAGTGTCAAAATTAGAGTGTGACACATACAACAAAATCCCTTTTTGGGGCTTAACGCCAATTGACTTGAATAATTGTGGATGCCTTAATGGAAGTTCCGCCATTTCACGAATCTGATCCATGTGCTTTGTAACACCACCAACATCATTAAAAACAACCTCATCTAGTCTATTATTATATTCCCTTTTAATAGGCTCTACTTGGAAAATATAATTTTAGATTGATAATGGATAAAAAAGATAAAAGGGACTGGGCAAACAATCTTAGTATATGAAGTATAGCTATAGAAGCATAATATAGGAAATTATGACATCAATTAGGCATCCATTAAAGAGTATTTTATATTTGAACTAAGGAGTTGTTATGTCATGTTACAGCTATTGTTAAGAAATGTGATTGGACCTAACTCAACCCTACAAAATCGGCTGGTAGAGTGAGGATTGCCCCCACTTATAAACACATGTTCATGCCATATATTATCCGATGTGAGACTCTTAACAGCTATCAGCACGTATCGCCGCTACTTAACTCCTGCTGAAGTTTGTTGACAAAATAAACTCATTAGTAGAAAGAAAGAAAAACTGTCTTATAAACATAATGACATAAAAGCATAAAACAAAGGCAACACATACAACTCATTACATTATTATCTTCCCTAACTGATGCAAGATGTCTTAAGAAGACACCCAAGACAACTAACTTGAATATAATACTAAGCATGAGATGTCACATTTCTCTAATTCCTCAAATATTCAAAATCATAGAAAACACATTTAGAAATTAGAAAACATAGTTATCCAATTAAGAAGATCATATTGAATAATAAAAGTATTCAAAGTGTAAGTGTAAACCCCAATTTCGAAACACTAGACACATGAGTCAACCATAAATTCACTTGATGTATTAAACATTCATTTGCATTAAAATGCTTAAAATAAACAACAATGATCCTTAGATAGAAAAAGAAAAAAATAGTTATAAGATGAAAATGACATAATTAGAAAATAAATTTAAAATATGAAACTGAAATTAGAAAGCATGGCTGAAAAAAACACACACCTTAAGTTTATTGAATATTTCCAACATTGACGATCAAAACAAGATTGTTATTTCTCAATATTAATGTGAAAAATATGATACATTAAAAAAAACCTTATGCAAACAGAAAGGGGGATCCTTAGGGAAATTAGGTAATTCCAAGAAAAAACGGGTTGCACCTTTAACTTCTGTAGTTACTCTGACACTGGGGTTAATTTGATCGAAAAATTGAATTTTGAAAATCTGAATAATTTCATCAAGCAGCATATCGACATTTTCTTGGACCAAAGGCTTTTTTTTATTCTTGTTATGGTATCAAGTAATTTAATTTAAAATTCTTGAAGCTACAAAAATAATTGTTCAGTTGAACAATACCTGTTATGCCAATGAACAACATTCTTCTAATTTTTTATTTGAGAATCCGATGAACCACCATGAACTTTGGAGTTTTGGTCTAGAGATTTTTCATATTGAGATACAATAGAACCGAGTAACTTAGTTTCAGCAGCATCATCAGGTACTATGAATATGCTGATCAAACCTTTCTCTCCTCGCTACCAAAGTTCTTGTTCAACCAACTTTGCACTACATTCAAACTCAATTCAATTCAATTGAAGGAGGGTGAAGTGTGAGAGAAATCCTCATAGGTAGCCACACTTGTTTTAATGATGTCAAAACTTATATTGATAGAAAAATATACTTTGAACGGTATCATTGTGTCACATATGCATATGTTATCCCTCGTGAGTCAAACATCCGTCAGAAACATTATTCATACATATAGAAATTGCTAAATCTATGTTTCATATAGGTTTTATCAAGCTTGTCAAGCTTACTATGTGATAGAGTACCTCAAAAGTTGTATGATACATGAAAATATGCATTTTTTTTTTTGCATATTTTAAGGCTTTGAGTCGACTCAAATCTAGTTCTGGTTGACACATACAGAAAGCTTTTTGAATGGTCTACTCTCAGGAGTGCTCGTGTCGACCCTCCGGTCGACTCATACTGTGTCCATTTCTATTTGTCTAATTCTTCATGCTTTGCATCGATGCATGACCTATTCCGGTGGACGCAAAGTTCTGGTTTTTGCATAATCAGAAATTCGGGTAAGCTCAGGTCGATCCTCCTTTCTTCATATGTCGACCGCTCGCGTATTTTAATTTAAAAATTTGTTATGTGAAACTGTCTTTATGGTTGTTATGTTTGTTAATTGTTTTTGTCTTGTATATAAAGTGAGTTTTGCTCTTCCTTTCTAATACACATGAAAAACAATAAAAGTGAAAATAGATACTGATTGTTTACACCATCTTCATCCTCTTCCTTGCATTTTCTCAACAACTACACATAATCATTTTCGTTGTGCATTTTGCTTGTTAGAGGTGATAACGTCCAAACATAGAATTGGTGTAATCGGGTTTGGGTTGAGAAATCAGTAGGTTTTCTTGAATAAAACCGTTAGGGTTTTATCCTCCAAGAATCTTGGATTTTAGGGGTTTTTATATGAATCGGTCCATCACAGATTCAGCCAAGCGAAGGTAATCGAAGAACGGGTTATTCTATCGGTTTAGTAGCGGTAACCGGAGGATTGTGAGAGGAAGATTCGGGTTTGAAGCGTTGGTGATTGAAATCAGCCGGGCAAGATTTGAAGATCGAAGGGTTGTTCAAAGGGTGTGCCATAGTCAGAGGTTTATTCATCGCGTTCGAAGGACTTGATTAAGCTTGAATCAAGGGAAGAGAAGAAATATGCTCTACATTAACAATTGTGTTTAATCGTTTGATCTCTATTTGCTTCTCGTGTAAACATTTACCAACAGGTTATATCTATATATAGATCTCAATTCTATTTTTAGAATTGAGGGCAGACGTACCCCGAGCGAGGATGACGGGGGAACTGCCTCAACAAATTGGTGTTCTCTCTTTACTTTTCAATTGCTTAAATTCTGAGTTTGAGTGCAAACAATTGTGTTAATCAAAATTCTGATGTGAGTAGTGCTGAACCATTTTTTAAGCTTATTACAATCCTTGATTGTAATTGAACACTTGAGCACTTTACTCTTATATTGGAATTCACTTGTGGTGCCTTGCACTCCAAGTGTTTGACCAATTATGTGAACAACAAACAATTGTGCTGTCTTTTCAATTTGACTATATTTTTAAAGCATTGGAAATAGTCAAACCTTATAGTGAATAAATTCTAATTGATGTGTGTTCAAATTAGTGATTCTTAAATCTCATTTTTATCGGATTCCATAGGCTTTGCGCATATCCGGTTTTTCGGTAAAGGTTCGTTTTAGACGAATATAGTTCCTCACCCGCTTCCGTCTAAAAACATTTTAAAAACCAAATATTGGTAGCGCCGACTCTATTTTTAACAAGTGATCTATTCAACCCCCTTTTTAGATCTGTGCCATCGTCTAACATGAAGTAGGTACCTGGTAGGATAAATGCAACAAATTCGAATGATGGCACCAGGTAAGAGGACTTTGTTTCTGAATCAGCTCATTAAAATCATCATAAAGCCTTTCATTATTAACATCAAACCTAATTTACAATCTAATTATTTAACAACTGCATTTTTTTAATGTGACTTGTCCTTTCTCATGTGAAAAAAAAAACATAAGAAAATCAAATTCAAAAAAGTATTAGTAAAAATGAAACACCAAATTATGCTTCAAAAGAAGAATCAAATGAAAAAAACAATACTCTATCGATTGACTCCATCAAAAACAAAGAGTCTCAAAGGAGGAGAAAAAAAAGATTGAAAATGAAAAGATAAACAAAGTAAATCTTACCGAAACTAAATCAAACATTAAACTTGAGAAACCCTATTAGATCAAAGATTGAAAATCTCCTTTCAGCCCTCAAATTCAACATCAGATTCCATTTTCTTCTTTCTAACCTCACCATCCAAAGGCTTGTCATCGATTAACAATGAAGATAGCTAACAACAATAGAAAATCAGATCAAGTATACATCAAAGTGATGGAAGAAGATTTACCTGAATTTTCGACAATAAAGCTTTTAGGACCATCGACAATGGCGAAAAAAGATAGTTAACAAAAAAGGTCAAGATTTCAGAGATAAGGTTTTGATAATCGAATTTTCAATTGAAATTGTAACCCTCATTTTGAGAGAGGAATAGATGCTGCTTTGGTGAAGGTGAGGGTGATAAAGAGAGTATCAATTTATTATAGTGAAAGAGGGAGAGACCTTGAAATTTGACAGAGATGAAGGCGAGTTTGTTCAGAGGGTGTGACTCGGTGAAAGAGTGAGATTATTCTTTTTTAATTGAAAGATGATGAGTTTTTTTTATAAAAAAGAGTGAGGCTATTCCCAATAGATTCAAATGATTTTATATCTATTAAAATGACTTTTGAGTTGTTTTAATCCTTTAGATAATCTATTTGGTCAGAATATTTGAAAAATGTGAAGATGTGCAAATTAGTTCTGCATAAAGAACGTGAAATACAATAATAAAAATGATAAAAAATGATTGTTAAATTGAGTTAAAAAGTAAAGAATATGTATTAATTATGTTAAGTATATTTTTTCCAGAAGAATTTATGTTTCCCGCACATAGTGGAGAATTTAGCCAAGGCGTTGAAGATCCATTTGTCTTAACTATTTTTCGTTTAATATGTTAACATTATTAATTATATTATATTGTTTATTAGTTGTAACATTATCAGAAGTTAGTGTTTTGTTGTATTAGTAACTATATTTTATATTTATTGTGAAGTCTTTGTGATGTTGTCATCGTAAATGTATTGTAGCCGGAATTGTTTAGCTCTAAATAAAAGTTGTTGTTGTTGTTGAAAAAGGAAATACACGATTTTTACAAATATAAGCACGATTTTAAAAAATAAAACATCTCACACAACTAACTAGAAGGTCCAACCTTGTTTGGACACTTTTTGCGCATATGTGTGATTTCGCGACAAATGTCACACCTTTTTTTTTCTTTTTCAATGTTGTCCATTTCAGCTCTAATCCGACTACTATTTGGACGACCTTTATTTTTCCTCTGAATGTTGTCATTGTGGCAAAGAGTGTCACCTTCATATTGCGGCCAAGTTGTTTCAATAGGGACCCTGAGAAAGCTCTCCTCGTAGACCTTAATAACGTTAACAACTTTGAACACATCAACTATATGCATAAAATAGTCTTGTCCAATGCTTGAACACGCTGCAATTGCATGTGAGCAAGGGACATGGAAAGTTTGAAATCTTCCACACTCACACGTATGGTTACTGAGGTCGACGTTGAAATGGGTAGTCGGCCTACCATAATTATGATTCACTATTTTTTGGATCAAAAAGCAGAACCTCTGACTATCAAATTGCATAATGTTGTAACTATTTGATTCGATTACCTCTTTCTCAATACCCTTCATGAAATTATTAGTATACATTTGTCCATAACCCAACATTTTAGTTCATTCATGTCCTTTTTTCCCAAAAAGTATGCCCATCCTATAGTATGTTGATTTTACCAAAGTTGTAATCGGTAGGTTACGCGTGGCTTTCAAAACTGAGTTCATTGATTCAGCAAGGTTGGTAGTCATATGGCCCAATCATTTCCCTCCGTCAAACGCTCTAGTCCATTTAACTCTAGGAATATTGTCTACCCATTATAATGCTTGTATGTTAGCTTTACGTATCTCTCCTCTATAGTATTCATATGTAGACTCATTTAATGCATGTCTAGGGTATGAAAAAGAAATATATATTAGTATATAGAAATTATTGTTAGATGTCTAAACAAAGATACGTTCATGAAAATACCCATGTTAACAACTTTTTTGCGAAGTTCTTCATGAAATTTTGCGCTATGTGCCTGATGCAAAAGACGTGTGATGAGGGAGGGTACTACCAACCATTATTTGGGTTATTATAGGCACTATTTATTTACTCGTGTCGATCTGAGATCAAACATAGGTTGGCTTGGGGTGTAACATGCATTCTAATATTTCTTAAGAAAAAACTCCAAGCATCACCTGCTTCACCCTTTACCAATGCAAAAGCTATTGAAATATATTCCTATTTTCGTCTTGTGTAACAACCATTAACAAAGTTCCCCTATACTTTCCATATAATCATGTGTCATCTACTTGAACTACCGGTTTGTAGAATGCAAAACCCTTGATGCATGGTTGGAAAGCCCAAACTATACGGTGGAAAATTCTAGCACCACTAATCTGTGTCCCCTCGTTTGACCACACGGGAAGAGTTTCTAGTTCTATTATAGTACCAGGTAGAAATGCTTACATGACCAACAACCATTATGGTAGATCGTTGTATGAAGTCTCCTAGTTTCCATAAATAGAAGCGATAACCTTGTTATTTGAAATCCATACCTTCTTGTAAGAGATTGTGTAGTTGAATTTCTCATGTATATGAGCAATGATGTGTTTCTCTTTTAGTGAAGCATCACTGTTAATCAGAGATTTGATACCATCACATATTAGATTGGAATCTAATTTACGATTATCTTGGGACATTGTGAAAGACGTGCAGGTGTGTGGTCCACTAACCTTGGTGATCACCCACGTACCACTCCCTTTCTCCACGGAGGCTTTACATTTAAAGCTGCATTATTTGTGTTCACACTTGATTATAAGTCGTTTAGTATCTGACTTATAAAATTTATAGTCAAGACAATTTTTGATAGGAAACTGGCGTATGGCAAACACACATCCTTCCTTGTTTTCAAATTCCATACCAAGCAACCCACCTTCGATCTGAAGTGATTGTGTTGTTTCGAATATTGAGGAATCTTCGTCATCTATGTATCTGGGATTTCTCATGTGGAGTGGTGGATTATATAGGTTCAGTCATGTTGCTGCACCTCTGCAATATCATTGTCAGAGTCGTCGCTATCACCGCTAAAAAGATTTTGGATATTTACCTCATGCACTTCTTCAAAGTCACTATAAATAGCCATGTCTTCTCTTACAAATGATCATTCCAAACAAAATCTTTAGTTTGTTACTACATTGCAAATCATCATTTTTTAAAGTTCTCTAGTTTATTACTACAATGGCTCAAACTCCTCTTTTTTTTGGATGGGTGAAAAACATAGGGGAACAACTCATAACATTAATGTGTTAGTAAGTATTTCATAAATGTTTATTTTTCATTGCTTTCTTATTCTATTTACTTACATGTATATGTAATTAATCGATATTTTAATTGTGGAATATTGGTTCATATATATATTTTTACATATATATCATTGTAATGATGAAGATTTTATTTATTCTTTTGTATGTATGTATTAGGTGGACCCCGAAAGAAAATTTAGACCAAGAAACCACAAGTTAGTTAATGCTTTGCCTGTGATATTGCCATTATTAGAAACCACTGGTTTCATGAATGTCTCCAAATTGCAAGATATCATCATTGATTCAAGTTTTATCTATGCTTTACTTGAACGATGGAGACCCGAAACACATACTTTTCACTTTCTGACCGGTGAATGTACAATAACATTGGAAGATGTAAGTATGCTTTTGGGTCTCCGCGTGAATGGTAGAGCATTGGTAGGACCTTCTGAGATAGAAGCATCAACATGGATTGGGTTTTTGGGTTAACAACCACCTAATTGTGCAATAGAGGGTAGACGAGTACGTATCAGTTAGTTAAAGGAAATTTTAAAACAAAATGCCGTTTCTGAAAATTCTTCACATGAAGAACTAATTTTATATGTAAGGACTTATATAACATTATGCATTGCACTTACCTTGTTCCTTGACAAAGGAGCCAAATATGTTTATAGTATGTGGACACAATTTCTTGATGACTTACAAGAATGTGGTAGATATAGTTGAGGATCAGCTGTGTTGGCATTTCTATTTAGAGAAACGTGTAAAGTAATTGATGTTGGTGTTGATGGAATGTGGGGATGTGTTATTCTGCTCCAAGCTTGGGGGTTTACACGAATGTCATTTTTAGCACCAATTAGTGAAATCACACCAACTTACCCGTATGCATCAATGTAAGTTTGAATTTATTCGTCCAGATCTATTATTTATAATTTTTTAATATGTTAATTTTTCAATTTATTTTCTATTTTTTATATGGGTTGCAGACAACAAGAAGAAGAAAAATTGTCCTCGCAACTCTCACCATCATCTCACTGGTTACCGTTTCTACACTGATCGCTGTGAGTGCAACTTCTCCGTTAGATGTTTTGCATGATCTTAAAAATATAAGAAAACTTAGTATTTCTGTGTGTCGGATGGTATCTTTGAGTTTGTGTGGCACCTGTTAGGGGTCTTAGGAATCATCAAAAACCACTTCAAAATTGTCCAAAATCATGAAATACAGTTTTCTGTACAAAAATACACTAAATGTCTCGGCATATACGCTTTTTCAGGCCTACACATGTAACTCAATAATGAAGCCTGTAGCATATGTCAAAGTCAGGTCAGCACATAAGCCTTTCAGGTCGGCACATACTGTAACATCAGTTCTATGTGCTGGCACATACGTGTTTCAGACCGACACATCTACTGTCCTAAATAAGGTTGTAGTCTCTGTTTGATTTGGGTCGGCACATAGGTTATTTCAGGTTGACACATGCTGTTATTTTTGACATTATGTACCGACATATCCAACCTTCAGGCTGACACATACTGTTTAAGCTGGTCAATTTTTTAATTTCTTTTATTTCAAAAATTACCTATTTGCCACCAATCTTTCAAAACTATAAATACATCATTCATGCTTCATTCTAAACTATTGATACCATAAAATTAGCTTGTATTTATTCATCATCTTTAACATCCATCCTATGTCTACACACTGACAAATCACACATAATAATCTTTTGTTGGGGTGCCATCTAGGCGAAGGTCTAATAAAGTTCAATTAGGTTTTTGTGTAGCCGTGATATTGGGTTGAGATTTGTAGGGGTCTTCATCCGGAAAAACCGCGGGTTTGTCCTCCAAGATCGTGTGTAGATTTGGGGGTTTTCGTGCAAGATGTTTAAGAGAGGATTGCGACGTTGTGAAATCCTTTGCAGATAAAGAATGCAAAGGAAGTAACGGAGAACAACGAATCGAATTGAAGTCTTATGGAACAATCGGTGCAATTAATCGTGCACGAAAGCTTTGGAGATAAAGAATGCAAATGAGTAGCAATATTGACAAGTCAATTGGAATCCATTGTTGTCTTGGTTTTACTCAAGATCAAAAGAAGAGAAGGGGTTGAATCAACATCAAAACCAGTGGTGTTTATATAGTTGTTATCAAACAACTTTCTTGTACATCGACTTTTTGCAAAGTAAGAAAGTATCCTAATTCCACATTGGAAATCAGGCACAGACGTACCCACACGCGAGGACGAAAGTGGAGAATTGCGTAAACAAATCCTCGTGTCGATGTCTCTATTATCTATTTACTTGCTTTATTTTTCATTACGCAAATTTGTCAAATAGCATTGATCAATCGATCGACTCGTAAGAATTTTCCAGTGATCTTTTTGTTTTAACTTGAATGTTGATTAGCTTATAATCACTTTTGATTATAAGTGGTTTTCATATCAACAACAACACAAAGGATATTCTGAAAATTCGTTCACACACCAAGTGTTTGATAAATTGCATAGTTCAATATTTTTACTCATTATCATTTAAAATAACATTACTAGGTCAACTAGTTTAAACGAGTAATAACATGATACTCAATTAAAGGTTAAATTCTATTATTGTGTTTGTCATTCCATAATTGACTTTGTATATCCGAGTTCCAATAGCTAGGTTCGTATATGCGACATTTGTCGATCCATACCAAAACCTTCCGCACACACTTTTTTTTCAATAACTTTAAAACTCAAGTTTTATTTGATGATTTTGGCTTGGGTGTCTATTCACCCCCTCTAGACAAGTCGTCGTCGTCTAACAATCGCATGTCACCAGACAACTTAATATATGTACCATTACTTTTTTTATTTTATTTTATTTTATATATTCTTATAAATATTTATGTTGTACTCATATTGATTATTTAACATTAACAGTTCATATGGTGTCATATCTTAGATTACCATCATTAGAGAATGACGATCACTTGATTTGGAATACTACTATACCTATCTTATGTTTATGGATTATTGAAATGCATCAGTCAGATAGGGTTAAATTGCAATTTGGGTATCATCAAGAAATACCCAACCCTTTTAAATGCCTCCAAGAGCAACATACCATGCATATGCAAGAGTCATGGAAGTACAACTACATAGTTTTGAATAGAGCTGAACAAGATCTTTGGGAGAATAGACACCAATTATGCTTGATTGGGGTACCGTTTTAGGGAGAAATGAAGCCAACTCAAGAATATTTAAATTGGTTACATAGGCTTCCATATCAATACACATCAATAAAACAATTCTTAATTGACCTCCGTCAACAGTATCCCGCATCACATGTGCCAAACCCACCACGACCACATTTCTAATACCCCAAACACAATATACACAAGTATCCATATCCAGCCAATACGAACCACAAAATAAATATACCCATCCCTACCAATCCCAAACACAACATACATCATACCAACAACAAAACTATTAAACACAAACTCAACATACACCAACCCATTACACATACCAAACACAACATACCAACAATCAAACTACCAAACACAAACTCAACACACACCAACCCATTACACATACCAAACACCGCAACAACAAACAAACTACCCCTACCAATCTCAACAACAACCATGCCTTCGCCCACCACGACACCACACACCAATTCCACCACCAAACTTTGATTACTCAAATACCAACCAACCATCATCATCATCCCTCGATGTGTCCGACTATTACGTCGCAACCATTGAACCTTCAGCCCCAAACCCTACCCAACTCACACAAATATTTAACGAATTTCCTCCAAATGACTTTTTCGATAATTTCAAGCCATTTGAAATTTACCTTAACCAAACACCCGTTTTCTCAACCTCTACCTATCCACCCACAGCTTCAACCCCTCATTCATCTGCTTCAACCGAACATTTAAGTCGTGGTCACCAAATTCAGGTTTTTGTAAAATGTGAAACCGATAGTCATTTCATCGTTGAAGATCTGAATCAACGTAGAAATTATTATTTTTTAATTATGGCATCATCCATTTGTAATTTATAATTTTATATATTAGTCATGAGCTTTTTTTTTTAATTTATATTTTTATAGTATTTAGTATTTCATATTATACTTTAATAAAAAATAAACTTCTAAAAACAATTAATAATTAAATATTTAAAAGAAAATTAATTTTAATAAATATAATATTATAAAATAATATTTTATTAATTTAATTACTAAAATATAGTAAAAGAACAATTAAATAAACTCAAATTATAAAAAACAAAAAAAAAAAGAACTTCATCCAAGATGACGAATCCAATTGGATTTCTGACTAGAGGTGACAATTAAATCCATTAAGGCAAAATTCATCCAATCCATCCATCAAAAAATCAATCCAATCCATCCACCACAAAAAAAATAAGTTAATGGATTGGATTAAATTCATCCATTTATATGCATGGATGGATTCAATCCATCCATTTATATTAAGGATCCAATGGATTATTTTTATTTTCGTTAGATTTATTTTTTTAAAATTAAATTTTTTTAAAAATAATTAAAAAACTATATTTTTTTTCTGAAATTTTTTTTTAATTTTTTTGAAAAAAAATCTGTTTTTTTTTCAGAACAAAAAACTGATTTGTTTTTCGAAAAAAAAAACCGACTTTTTTTTTTGGAAAAAAAATCAGTTTTTTTTTTCAGAATAAAAAACTGGTTTGTTTTTCGGAAAAAAAAGTCGACTTTTTTTTGGAAAAAAATCGGTTTTTTTTCAGAATAAAAAACTGATTTGTTTTTCGAAAAAAAAATAAAATTTTGTCTCGAAAAAAAAACCGACTTTTTTTTTTTGAAAAAAATCGGTTTTTTTTAGAATAAAAAACTGATTTGTTTTTCGAAAAATAAAAATTTCGAAAAAAAAACCGACTTTTTTTTTTCTGAAAAATCGGTTTTTTTTTTCAGAATAAAAAACTGATTTGTTTTTCGAAAAAAAAAAAATTTCTCGAAAAAAAAGTCGACTTTTTTTTGGAAAAAAATCGGTTTTTTTTCAGAATAAAAAACTGATTTGTTTTTCGAAAAAAAATAAAATTTTTTCTCGAAAAAAAACCGACTTTTTTTTTCTGAAAAAAATCAGTTTTTTTTCAGAATAAAAAACTGATTTGTTTTTCGAAAAAAAAAGTTTCGAAAAAAAAACCGATTTTTTTTTTCCTAAAAAATCGGTTTTTTTTCCAGAATAAAAAACTGATTTGTTTTTCAAAAAAAATAAAAAATTTTCTCGAAAAAAAAACCGACTTTTTTTTTGGAAAATAAATTAGTTTTTTTTTCAGAATAAAAAATTAATTTGTTTTTGAAAAAAAAATATTTATTTTTACGAAATTAAAAAAAAAGTTGAATGGATGGATATCCATCCATTAAAAATATGTTAATGGATGGATTGGATGAATTTTATTTTTAATGGATAGATCGGATTGGATAATTTTAATAAAATTTTAGTGGATTATAATAGACTAATGTATTGTTTTAATCCATCCATTAACAATCCAATCCATATCCATCCAATCCATCCATTTTGCCACCCCTATTTCTGACGCATCCGTCATCTAAAATAAAAGATACAGAAAAAATATTAAAAAATGCACAAGATGATATAGCTCGTGACATTTGAGGAATTAAATTTCAGAAAGTGGCAATCGAAGACTTTATTTTTAGAGAAATGTCAGTGTGATAAAGAAAAAATAGTCTATTTGGTTGCATGTTATTTTTATAAATAAATACTGATGGTTATTTTTACATTAAAAAAATAGAGTATAATAATTTTGTAAAAAAAAAAAGACTGTAATACTTTTAAATTAATTAAAAGAATTGATTGAAATATTTTTTTTCTTATTTATTATGATTGTGTCTCTTTCTCGATTGTCTGGCTTTTGAAGTTGGGGCTCCCGAATCCATTTTTACATACTCCACACCAATTCATCATTCTTTCATCATTATTCAGGTATACTTTAATCAATCTCATCTTCCATCATTGATTCTATGTATTTTTTTATTTTATTTTATAGAATTGAGTTTTCAGTGTTTAGATGCTAAGTCATTGCATCAATTCCTTTGTTTTGAGTTCACCACACTCAAAGACCTGCCATATGTTTGATGAAATGACTCTACTTGTTTTCATATAATGTTGCAGTGCTGTTTAGTGGGTGATTCTTTAGTTTTCAGAATAGGTCATCTACCTATAATTATGTCCATTTTAGCCATGGGTGTTTTGCTCTCGGTGTTTAGGTTATCATGGCTAGCTGATAGAGGAAAAAAATGTGCATCTAAGACAAGTTAAGATAATTCTGAGTCTGTTTTTCTTCTTTGGGGAATTATAGATTTCTGTATATATTTATAAAATAATGAAACTAATTGACTTCAAGAGGATTGGTAAAAACTATACAACTTAATCTCAAGAGACATAATTCAAATCCTACCTGAAATGGTTGTAAAAGGGTCATTAATGCCATCATTAGTAATTTCTTTTTCTTCAGTTTTTGTTGTTGTTTTTATTTAATAAAAAAATGAAACTAATTGTTTTTCTTATTTGTATCAGTCGTAAAAGTAAGTGTGTGTTTGATTTAGTTTTGCAAGAGGCAAAAACAATTCTAGAGGTGGGGAATTGATTTTGAAATGATTTTGAAGTGTTTGGTTCTTCTAAAGTAGAATTGATTCTACTTGAAGCAAGAATTTGTAGCTTTTGAGTTTAAACATGATTTTTACATTGAAATTTACTGTTCAACTCACTTCTACATAAATTTATCCAAACATAAATCGCTTTACTTTCAACTCATTTTTAGTTAGAATCAATTTTGCATAATCAATTCATTCAAAATCAATTATTTTCACCGCAAAACCAAACACACGCTAATGCCGTTCAAACATAAGAACTACTTCATCCTCTTCTCCTCTCTGTAATGGCTTCAACTTGTGAAATTAGCACTTGTTTGGTATTAAGTTATAGATTGATGGTTATGAGTTATCAATTAAATTGGATAAATATCTTGATTCATTGGTTATTTTCTCCATGTATATAGATATGAAGTTACAATTTTGCTCTTCCGTGTGATCTTAGGTGCCAGTGCTAAGATCCTAGTTTTAAACCCGGCGGCCGATCCTACTTAGTATTTTTTGTTTGACTACATTGTATGTATGGGGTTTATAGAGTTCAGTATATTTTATCTACTTTCCACTGCATCTTATTTGAATTTGAATTGATGATTTATTAATTAAATTCAACTTCGCTGCTGAAATCTTGTCATTAAAAACCATAGCTGCAAATCTTGTCATTGAAACCATAATTGATGCAATTTTTGTTGGAATCATACTGTTAGGTGACCCTTAATGTTAGTTATAGTTGGCAAAACGGGAAGAAAATGTAAGTAATAAGAGTGAAAGAGAAGGGAGGGTAACTAGGCATTAAAAGGAAATTGGGGCAATGGGAGGTGTAGATCGTAGAAGTTTGTGAGATTGTAGCAGTTTTGAATTAGATAATATATAGAGAGGTTTGTGTAATGGAAGACTCTGCAAACTCTTTGGATCATATTAATGGAAAAAAATGTATGTAGTCTCTCTGACATGTTTCCTCTGATTTTTAATTGCAAGTTTTACTTCAATTTCATTTTCTTTGCTTTTAGTCATTCTTTGTCCCTTAGATTAGATGAAAGAGCTTTGTTGATAGAATGTTGTTAACTTGCAGCAAAATCTTATGATTAGACTTTGGAATGTATTCCTAATATTTAGATTGAAAAAATTTAAACATTATTAAATGTTGGGTGACTGATAGAGTGGGCTCTGCCGTCCCATTTAATTTTGTTTAACTTAAGGCCCACAGGCCAGCCTTAGTGCGCAGTGTTTATACTTTTTTTTTTTTACCATAATTGGCTATGGTCCCAGCCTATTGAGGCTCTAGGAATTGGTTCTTAACAAAAAGTTGGTTGTTTCTTTAGATTGCAAAGTCAAGTGGCTCTAAGAGGCATTTCAATTCAATGGCTATTTCCAACGTTCACATGCTTCAATCTGCCAGAGGTTTCCAGAAGTGCAATCTCTCCTTTTCCAGACATGGCAATCCTAGATGTGGTTACAGGACCAATCACTTAGCCTTTGCTTCTATGCACACATCTGACCCTAAGGTACTTCCAGGTCATCTAACCAGTTCTTTTCTTAGATTTTCACATTTGATTGCTTTGATTACCTGGTTATTTAGATAATGGGCAATGAGAGCCCTTGAAAAAAGTAAGGTGTATTGACTAATTACAATGCATTCTCCTTACTGTGATGTTTGGCCTTGATGTTAAATGTTGGCTCTCATGTTAGAATTTATCACTGACCTTGAAAATAAAGTATCAGTGTGATTTGTTTGATGTGTGCAATGTTTTTTTATATGTAAAGTTTAAAAAAATCAGGAACAAGGTTCATGCACAGGCTTGTATAAACTGTTAACGCGTGAACATCCGTTAACCTGGTTATAAATGTTACTGTCCGAGAGATATTGCTGATTTAAGAATAAACAAGTCCTCTGAGACACCAATGCATGCAAACAGGGGAATTGCCACTTTTGTTTATTATCCATTCAAAATATACGAGGCCTAGGATTTCCTGTTATAAGTTATTTAGTGGTAGTGAACTTGCAATCTGACTCTGCATTTGGTTTTATGCATATTTCTAAATGGATTTGGTCTGTCACATGGTTGTAACTTTTTCCCTTTCATCACTTGGTTGAAAATGCCCCAAATTCTTTCTACATTTGTATGGTTATTGTAAATATGCTGTTTATACTAGAAAGAATGTTCATCACATCATCATTTGATTGCTTATGAAATATCATGTCATTTGTTGTTTTTATTCCGTATCTCTTTTGATGTTATAAATTCTTGTTTTCATATTAAAAAGCTAAACTTTTGTCAGGTAGACTCATTGTTGGATAGTGTAAAATGGGATGATAAAGGTTTGGCTGTGGCAATAGCTCAGAATGTTGACACAGGGGCCATACTAATGCAAGGCTTTGCAAATAGAGAAGCTGTGGCCACAACCATATCTTCCCGCAAGGCCACATTCTATAGCCGGTCAAGATCATCATTGTGGACCAAAGGAGAGACCTCTAATAATTTTATCAATGTCCTCGACGTCTTTCTTGATTGTGACCGTGATTCTGTAAGCTCTTGTCATTTTTCTTCGTTGACCTATTTTTTACATTTTCTGTTTTTTGTTATGAAATGTTGAGTACTTTTTCTTTTTCCTTGGTAACAACTTAGATAATATACCTTGGGAAACCTGATGGGCCTACCTGCCACACAGGGGCAGAAACATGCTACTATACACCAGTCTTTGACTTGTTGAAAGAGGAAGAGGTTAGCTTCAATCAATTAAAACCAGCATGTTACTGTCTTATGTTCCTGTAGAGAATGGTCAGCAACATTTAAATTGGTTTGGTTATCTGTTACAGACTGAAGGAAACAAATTGGCATTAACCTCTCTGTATGCATTAGAGTCAACAATTTCCCAGCGTAAGGCAGAGTTAGTAGAAGAAGAAAATGGAAAGCCTTCATGGACAAAGCGATTATTGCTTAATGATAAGTTACTGTGCTCTAAAATCAGGTTGGGTATATTAAAATCATTTCCTTGAAACTCAAATTTTATTATAATAAGTCACATTGGTTGAAGAAATCGGATGAACTATTTAACGCCTCTCACTTTGACTTCAGATTGTAATTGTATATTTCTACTTGCAGAGAAGAAGCAAATGAGTTGTGTCAAACACTAGAGAATAATGAGGACAAGTCACGCACTGCTTCAGAAATGGCTGATGTACTCTATCATGCAATGGTTCTGTTGGCACTGAAAGATGTTAAAGTAGAAGATGTTTTGCAGGTTCTGCGCCAGAGATTTTCCAAGTCTGGTATTGAGGAAAAGAGAAGTCGCACAACCCAGAAATCGGTGGAAAATTGAATGTTCTTTGTCAAGTCTGTATTTTAAACAACATATTTAGCTTCCAGTGTCATATTCGGATGTACAAGATACGCAGTTGCCGTGTGACTGTGTCTGAGCAGGGTTAACTCTGGCACATATAGCAAACTGCAGGTCTGTAATATCCTGAGTTGTTCTTTTCTTGCCCTTATTTGCTTAACTTAGATTGTAAAACCTGTTTCCTCCTGTAATGCCGTTAATTTATTGATTTTAGCTTTGACTCTTTTTGATTCCATACTATTATCACAAGAATTAAGTGAATACCATGTGGTTTTAAATATTTACATATTAAATGTTATGCTTTTAAATACTTATATTGATATTTTGATCACTCTTATTAACCCACTTTGTTACACAACTTATAAAAAGGTAGTAGATCAACAATTACTATTTCTTATTGCCATAATATAATTATTGAATGCTAAAAGGCAGATTACAATGGCCAAGTATGCCACCTGATGCTTGCATCTGCGTGATGAATCCGATTTAACAATACTTTCACTGAAATTATTCACCGGTGAATTAGATAGACAGATCATAGTAGATGCAGAGATGTACAGATTATGACAGTGGAGCTGGATAAGGAGAAAGTGGAGGTATAACAGTACTTGTGCAATCGGTTATGCATAATGTATTAGCTCCTCCACAGTTCATAGCACAACCGAAGAAATTCAAACCCTTCCTACCGTAACATCCAAGCATACAAGAAAAAACATTATCTCCACATTTACCAAGGCATTGCCCCAGATGGCCTATCTGGCTAACCTCTTGAGCAGTTGATGTTGAAATCAGCATAAGCATCCCAATAATTTGGATCACTTTCTTGACTTGTAGATTCAGATTCATTGTTAAACCAATCTTGCTTTTATTGGTTAATTTCACAAGTTACTCTTAAGCTAGATGTTTGTTAATGAAGTGTATTGAAGCTATCTACATTTATATACTACTTGTTATGGTGAAGGTGATGGTCATCTTCACGATTGAAAAGTGTGTCATAAGTATTGCATGATATAGTAGTTTGGTATTTAAATTGAGGATGCTTGAAATATGCTATTTCTAAGTTTCAAAAACATCTTTTATGGATACAACTGCATGATTAAACATTTTAGATTTACTTAGTCAAAATCAATCAAAATAAAATTCTTACACATTTTCAAAACATTTTAATGTTTTAAATATTTGTACGAGTTATTGACTTAATACTTCATTTTGTCGAAGTTCATATTGGTCTTTTGACTTTTAAAATATTCATATTGATCCTTTAACTCTTCAAAATGTTTTATATTAGTCTTTTTTATCTAACTAGTAACTGACCTGTGCTATCACACAGGGTACGTTTGTTTGTGGGATATGGTTTTAGACGCTCATTTGTGTGTAGACTGTCAAAAAAATTGAAAGTTGAAAAAAAAAAAAGAATAATAGTAAATTTAAGTTGAAATAATAATAGATGTAGAAGACGAAAGTTAAACAATAATATTAATAATAATATGATTAAAAAAACTATTAAATTTGTATTAGATAAATTAATCGGTGAAGTTTTTTGAACAAATAAGACAATTATGTTATAAGAGAGAATACAATGGTCAATAAATTTTTATTATTCAATATTTGAATCAGAAATAAAGTTGATCCCGTTTGTAACAATATTTTTTCCCGTATATAAATATTATTTTTGTTTTAATATTATTTATAAATATATTTGAATCAATAGGAAAGTTGTTTCCGTTTTTAAAAGTATATAAATTAAAATATTATTTTTGTTTTGATAATATTTATAAATATATTTAAAACAATAGTAAAGTTGTTCCGGTTAATAACAATATTATTTTCTCTCGTATAAGAAAAACATTTTAATCAACAGTGTCTTTTTTCCCATATATAAATATTAATTTTAATTTGACACTATTTATAAAAATATTTAAATCAATAGTGAAGTTGTTCTCGTTTATAACAATAATTGAATCAATAATTTCATCTGTCATGTTTCAAATAATTTCTACGATATGTGAAAACAACTTTACTTCTAACGTGAAAGTTTATTTACATCTTAAATCATTTGTTTAAACGTTATTAGATAAACGAGTCTTTTTAGTATTTTTACAAACCCGTGCCTATGCACGGGGTACGATTTTAGGTGGGATATGATTTTGGACACGCATTTGTTTGCATACTATCATAAAAATAAGAAATTAAAAAAAATAAAAATAATAGTAAATTAAAATTAAAATATATAATATATGTAAAAGACGAAATGTAAATGTTCTGGCCTGCCCCCGGCCTGACCGGGAAGGTCTAACCCACCTATACTTGGGGAAAGGTCCAAAGGAGCCTTCCTCATATGTGTCGAGCACAAGGCTCCCGTCGACCGGACATTGCCCTGCCGGGCAAAACGCTTCCCCCGTCGAGCAGAAAGACGTGTGCCTCCCGCGCTCTCCACGTGCTCCCCTCTGTGGGGACACATCCTCATCCAACCACCCACCTCTGCGAGAGTTGGTCAACCCACCTTGCGGAGATCACAGGACAATTGGACTAGGGCGAAGACCACGTGTTGGTCTTCACTACGCCACGTAAGCCCTAACAGTCACTTGGGTTGGGTCTGACGATCCAGCCCAACACAAGTGACCGTTGGCCCTGCGCTGAAGTCTCTCTATAAATACCCTCTTTCACCAGAGGGTTAGGGATTCACTTAACCTCTCTTCTGTATTTGGTCCCACTCTGGTACTCTCTCATTTTGGCATCGGAGTGTCTTGCAGGTACACCCCCTCCTCTTTCTCAACACCAGTGGACAAACAGCAAACCTAAGACGCGTGACGGTCCAGTGATTCCCTTCTAATCAGCTCAGATCAGTAAACAATTTTGTTATGAATAATATGATTCAAAAAAACTATTGGTATGAATAATACAATTTTTTTATATAAATATTATTTTTATTTTGATAGTATTTATAAAAATATTCAAAATGATTGTATTAACTAATTGATAAATGATACTAAATTATTTTTAATATTATATTTTATGATTTATTTTTAATTATATGCAATATTTTATATTTTTAAAATAGAAAAATCGAACATAATTTAAATATTATAAAATTAAAAAAAATTAAAGACTATCTTAAATAAAAATTATGATATTTTAGTCTAGTTAAAAGTTAAAACTCCCAGTCAAACTTAATTTACAAAAAAAAGACCAAAATGTCATTCATATATGTTTTGTTATTCATAAACAAACAGGAATAAGTTTGGCTTAGTATCTTGTATAATCCTAACTAATTAGCATAAAGTGACTAAGATGACATTAGTACTCTATAATGAATAGATGCAAAACAACTTCAACCGTTATTAATGAAGTAGCATCATGAGACTAATGAATGACCCATCCTTTAGAAAAAAAGGACTTTGTAACAAAGTAAATGACTAATCAAATAGAAAACGGGTCCTACTACGAAAAATTCCCTTGTCTAATTTCCTACAACAAATGCAATGCATGTCCCTGACCAACAACATTAACGACAAGTTTGAACTTCAATGATCAGACTGCAACCTGTTTATGAACTTTTAATTGTTGTTGATGTGATTCTTCTAATTGTTGTTGTCTACACAAATGAAATAATTTATAAGGATTATACTATTTTTCTGCATAAAGTGACACTCATAGTCTAATAACATAGAATTCAAAGTGACAATCATAGTCTAACAACATAAAAGATTTCTACAACTGGAATGCAACATGAGATCCCATCAAGTATCTCGAACACGTCACCATCTCAAATCATACATAAATCAGTTGCAAACCAATGTGAAATTTCTGAATCAAGTTCCTTAAGCCAGTTAAATTTTAATCCTCAACATGAAATAGCTTTTCAAACTCGTCCCTTCTTCTACAACTCTTACCGTCTCATCTGATTCACATAATTGAGTTTTTATTGATTCCTTTAAGAAGATTTCTATCATATGGTCTTCAGTAAAAACAAATTTTGGTTATATTATTACAAATTCAAAATGAAAACCACTAAATAATGACAAGTACAATTGACAACAACTATATATCAATTAACAATTAATGAACATTTTTCGTCCTACTATAATACAAAGAAAATGACGAAGCAGAATCATAAATAAGTGACAAGAAGTCTCCAAACGAAAATATCTACTCCATAATGAAACAGAAAGCACGCCTTGTGACTTTTAGCAAAAGAGTCCTCCAGTCAACACTGACATCACAATGTTTCAAGTTTCAACCAAGTAAGAGTTATGTTGATGTTGTTTTATGACAACAGTGCATATACATTTGATGAAAAGCATCTGACGAATATCGATAAGCTTCATTAACCAACATTGACACCAAGTGATGACCCTAACATTATAAGACATATTTAACTACAGTTTAACCCTTCAAAAATAAAATAAAAAATAAAATTTGAAAAAAGTAAATTACAACCAACTTACTCTTAGTATTTAGAAATGAAAACATGGTGAAGATAAATGTACCTGAAGAATGGTGTGGGATCTCAAATCATCTCGGTTTTACTACTTTGTCGAATAATAGGGGAGATGTCCATGGTAATCAAATAATAAATAGCATAATGTAGTGAAATCAATAGAACTATAAAAACTATGAACTACCATTATATCTAACACAAAAAATGAAAATCATTAAATCAACACAATTATCATTCAAAAATATGAAGTCTATATCACTCAAAGTGCAAGTTTCATATTTAAGACAACTAAACTCCTGAATATTGAAGACAAAAAAGACACTTTAAAGTTTTAATAGTCAAATCTAAATGTCCTAGCTGACATGAAGTTACTCCAACCATACGGTGCTACGTCGTCGTCATCTGAATCGGACGTAGTTCTACTCCTTATCCTTCTTCTTGATCTCTTAATTCTCCTCCTTATTCGTCTTCTTTGCAATGCGACCGCCTGTTGGATCTGGACAGCTTCTTCGGCCTAAACTACTTGTTGGACCTCTACGAC